TTGTGAGGATTTTTGTTTTCTTTATGTTGAGATGTAATCCATACTGCAGACTGTATTCTTCAACCTTCATCAGTAGGTGCCTTAAGTCATTGACAGTGGTAGTCGGACCACATCTAATTCTGGTCTCATAGCCAGCCACTCCATGGAGAGAAGATTGGGCAGTCTACTTCTGTAGTTATGCCACCTCGAAAACCCAAGGAGGGGTCGCTGTGAGTCAGATCCAACTCCATGGTAGTGAGTTTGGTTTTTTTGATAGTCATATAGGCTGAGGACTGCATGGTGTACCAGTCACTTAGACTAATTGTTTCCCTGAATCTTTGGTTTTCTTTATTCTTCTTTGCTCTGTATGAGGGAAGACCAGTTATTGCATCTAGATGGCCACTTGCGAGCTTTTAAGATCGTAGTCGCTACTCGCCAAAGTAGGATGTGGAACAGTGTTTTATGTAGTATGTTATGCTAATTGAGCTTGATGTCTCCTTGATCATTTATTTTATTATTAAAAATAATAAAATAAAATCCTGAGCCAACAGTTTCAACTTCTCGCTCCCTCTGGGTAGCTGACTGTGGCCAAGAGGTGACTACAACCTTGTCCCTTGTCAGCTCTACTGTATGCCTGGGAATTCTTACAGAACATACCAATACACTTGTAGAAACTTTGCCAGCCCTATATGGTCTTGGGCACACTCCCCAGTACATTGACATACCTAATAGTTCAACTTGTCCACCCATATATCCATGTTTGCCTTCACTGACAACACAGTACTGTATGTGCAAAAGGGTTCATCTTTGTTATCTGTACCTCCCATGTACTTCTCTATGTCTTCCTCTTCCTCAGTGCCGCCATGTTGATCACTCACATTTGGTTCATTGCCCTTCTCTTCACCCAAATCAATACTTGTACCTGTCTAACAGTGTTACCTCCCCTCCCCTCCCCTCCCACCCTGGTAGCCAACAAAGAAAATTTCCTTCCATATATAAACCTTCCCTTGACTTTTTATAATAACACTGTACAATACTTGTCCTTCTGTGACTGACTTATTTCATCCAGTATAATGTCCTCCAAGTTCATCCACATTATGCGGTGTTTTGCAGATTCTGCATTATTCTTTGGGGTGTACCATTGTGTGTATGTACCATAGTTTGATTATCCATTCTTCAGTTGATGGACACCTAGGTTGTTTCCATCTTTTGGCTATTGTAAATAGTGCTGCAATGAACATGGGTGTGCATGTATATATGTGTTCTTGTCCTGGCTTTCATTTCTTTAGGATATATACCTAGTAATGGAAAGACTGTGTCAAATGGTATTTCTAATTCCAACTTTTAAGGAATTACTATACTGCTTTCCACAGTGGTTGTACCATTTTACAGGCCCACTAGCAGTGTATGAGAGTCCCAATCTCACCAACATTTGTTACTTTCTGTCTTATGGAACTTTACTACTAGTGCTGGGGCCAGATGATATCTCATTATTGTTTTGATTTGCATCTCTCTAATGGCTAATGATTGTGAGCATTTCTTCATATGTTTGTTGGTCACCTAAATATCCTCTTTGGTGAAGTGTCCATTCATGTCTTCTGCCCATTTTTTAATTGGATTCTTTATCTTTTTGTTGTTGAGGTGTTGGAGTTTTCTATAAATTCTAGAGAAAAGTCCCTTGTCAGATATGTCATTGCTGACTATTTTTTCCCAATCTGTAGGTTCTCTTTTGACCCTTTTGGAAAAGTCTTTGGAAAAATTTTAGAAGATCACAGTCATCTAGTTTCTCCTCTGCTGTTTGTGCATTTTGGGTTATGCTTGATAGTCTACTTACGCCATATATTAGGGCCCTTAAATTTGCCTCTAGTTTTTCCTTGAGGAACTCTATAGTTTTTGGTTTCACATTTATGTCTTTGATCCGTCTGGAGTTGGTTTTTGTGTATGGTGTGAGGTACAGATCTTGTTTCATTTTTCTGCAAATAGATACAAAGAGGATATTTAGGTGACCAACAAACATATGAAGAAATGCTCACAATCATTAGCCATTAGAGAGTTTTGCCAGCACTATTTACTAAACAGACATTCACGTCCCCCATTTAATGGATTTGGGCCCTTTGTCAAAGATCAGCTGTCCATAACTCAATGGATCTATTTCTGGGCTCTCAATTCTATTCCATTGGTCTTTGT